GCTCTCTCTTTTTGGATAATTTGATCTTCTAGGGTAGAAATTTGCCTCTACTGTCCAGGAGAGTTGTAGTTTGAGCTTTTGTGGAGCGGTTACCTCAGCACATCCTATTTTTCAGGGGACATTTTAAGTGTCTTATTTCTTAACAGAGCATCAACAAATATAACATTTCTTTCAGCTATACAGCTAAAGAGCACCAGCAATGCAGACAAATAGTATTCCAGTATTTCAGTAGAAATTATAGCCTTAAACAGTATGTTAGACTTTTACCTTTAACCCTTTTGCTGCCACCTTACGTTGGTGGCTTTTAATATTCTGCTGTAAGCTAATACCAGAACAGTTCCCCCCCGGCTCCACCCAGTTGTAATGACAGATTATCGTCCCCAAAAGACCTGGGGACGCTGATCTGTCATTAAACAATAACAACTGGGCGGAGACGGCCATGACGTCACGGCCAGCTCCGCCCAGTTGTTATTCTCTCCAGCAGATGCCGACTAATAGGTAACAGTTGTCACTGCTAGTTCCACTAAAAAAAAAAATTATTTACTTTTTTCAATTTAATATTTATTTACATTTTAAAAAATATTTTCTCTTTTTTTTAATTTTTTTAACTTCTTTCACTATTTGCTATTCTGCTCGGTACCTCCTTGATACCGAGCAGAATAGCAAATAGTGAAAAAAGTATAGTGGAGCTGAATGCCGCTCGGCGGCATTCGGCTATTCACTCACTGCCATTCGGCCCCTATGTGATTAGGGGTGAATGGCAGCGAGTGAGCTGCTGGAGCTGCGGCTCAGCCATCCAGATGTTGGATTGGCTGAGTCAAAGTCCTTCTGCACTTCGGCTCAGCCAAACATGCAGAACATGCAGTTTTCATGGCTTTAATCAATGGCTAACACAGTACAACACTCTACTTCAGGGGAGGCCATTAGGTAGATTGTGATCTACCAGTAGCTCTCAAAGCTGATGCTGATAGATCACGAAGGGTGTGAATGGTGGCCCCTTTATTCCATTTTGGTATATTTATGTAGCTGTGCACACATGATTACCTATTAGCCTGAGTCTGCCGGGCCAAGCTCCCTGGCACCTTTCTGGTGGATTCTGGTGATTGAAGTGCTATGTATTACATCAAAGAATATGAATTTACACAGCCTGTTGCAAAATACAGCAAGGTGAGCCAGGAGAGAGAGCGAGGAGAGACAGCCAGGAAAGAGAGGGCAAGGAAAAACAGCCAAGAGAGCAGAGAGACAGCCAGGAGAAAAAACAAGGAATGACAGCCAGGAGAGAGAGAGAGAGAGAGAGAGCGAGGAAAGACAGCCAGGAGGATGAGCAAGGAGGGACAGCCAGGAGGATGAGCAAGGAGTGACAGCCATGAGAGCGAGCAAGGAGAGACAGCCATGAGAGCAAGGAGAGACAGCCAGCAGAGCGAGGAGAGAGAGCCAGGAGAGAGAGTGAGGGAGGTTTTTTTCCCCACTGGTTGATCTCATGTAGCTCGTCGTTTAAATAGCAGATCTTAACACAAAAATTGTGGGCACCCCTGCTCTACTTACTACCATTATAATATCATTTAAAAACATCTTTATTTGGAATGCTGGAAAATTGTATCCACTGGACCTAGAGGATTCCTGTTCTTTTATAACAGGGATGCAGAAAAAGAGATTCAATCTCTTTTTCTATTTCAACAGGAAAATATCAGGGGTCTGTTTAGACCCCTGATATTTCACCGAAGCCCCCCAGCAGTTAAAGCAAGTAAAAAAATGAAAATATTTAATAAAAATAAATGCATGAAATAATAAAAAAATAAAAAATGTAAAAGTTTATAAAAAATAAATAACAATAAAATATTTGATAAAATGTAAAAAGGTTAGTAAAAAAATTGGGTTTCGGACTGACATTTTAAAAATGTTTTTGTTTAAAATGTTTGTTTCGCTATACCTCTACTTTAAATATTAATAGTTGCCACTATCTGCTTTTCCTGTTTGTGCTGATATGGACCAGATAAGTAATAGAGAACACAGAAACATTATATAGTTAACATTGATTAATGTAGAGGTTAGAACAAATGTCATTCTACCACAGATGACATACATTTTGTATTATCACGTATGTCCTCTGTAAAGTAAAAACTTTGATAAGCACTTCATCTGTCTCAGCCATTATGCAAAATCACATAACAGAAATGCATTGTTGTATTTTCCAATGCTATGTCTTCTTGCACCTTCACCACTACCAAGTAATGCTGCAGATGTCCCACTTTAAAATAGATTTAAGTTGGCTATACACTTGTAGATCTCCAGACGAACGATATTTTTTTTAAACCAACGAGAGATCTTTCTTTACCACCCGGTAATGCCATCAGACACCTGACGAATGTCGAGTGAAATTTCATTTTATTTTAACATTTTATTTTGGAATTAATAGAGTTTCCGTAATGAAAGCCACATTCACTGTTATAATTTTGTTTGTTTGAGAAAAATTTTGCATCCTGCTCCTTCAAGGTTATTTTTCACTACAGTTGAAATTGCTCATCGAGTTGACCCCCATCGACTAATAAAAAGTCGACAGAATGTTCTTTCCAAAATCTAAGCAATGTATGGCCAGCTTTACCCTGCGTGGTGTTACACAATCACTTCTCCACTGTACAGTCCACAGCTCCACTTATGATACATCTGTGGAGCACAAGCAAATTTGACATATGTAATTCTGGGATGTGAAGCCAGTACAGAATGGGAATAGAGGACTCTTGTGTGTATGTCTTGGGTGCAATTTAATGGTGCATCATATCCAGGGACAGTAGTACCTCCTGCTAACTATAGAGACACCAGTAGTAGAGAATGAGTACTATGTATGTTTCTGTGAGTGGTACAAGGTTGAGGGCATTAAAAAAGGCCCATTGTTCAGTAGAAAGATGACCTTGTAGAGAATCTGAACACGCAGGGGAAGTTGGAAGGTTGTTTTAACCTGCTGAACAGAGAAAGAAACGCGCATGTTTTTCCCCGTTGCCCTTATCTATTTTATGAACTGGCTCCAAACTGTCATAAGAAGTATTCACTTTCTTCACTTGCTTTCTAAGTGTTGCTGGAATAGTTCAGAACTGGAGCAACTTCTAAGCCTGTTTCAAATATTCATATACAACTCGACAATAACTTTTATTTTCCTTTGTATCTCAAAAGTGCTTTAATCTCTTCTGTGATGTTTAGCTCTTCCAGCAACAACCTTTGTTATACTGCTCCGTTCTGAGAGGAGTGAAAGCCAGAATATGTATGACTTGGGAGGCTGCAAGGAGAATGTCCACCAACACTCTTTCTATTTAAATTTTGACCTCAGTTTCTGACTTTCAGCTCATCCTAACCTTTTTCTGCCTCCAGAAATGTCTCTAAGCAACTGCCAGATTCTTCAATGCAGACACAAATCCTCTGATCGTTTTCAAAGCATAATCTCATTTTTGAGAATGTCGGTGTTCATTTAAGTTCATTTCTAAGTATTTTAACTGGATTGTTCATTTCCCCAATAAATCCTTTTTGATAGTCACTACAAGCTTAGTACAGATTTAAATACAATGAAGAGACTTAACATAGAGCAGAACTCAAGCATGCTCTGGCTGAAATTATTGCAGGTTTAAATAGTCTTAACATATGAAACACGTATTGTACCCAGGAAATTCTTGAACAGGAGGTCATGTTGTGAAGTATAATCCACCTAGAATGTGGTCAGACATGGTGACCTGCCTGTTCTGGCTTCTTTTTCCCTTTATCTTAATGTGTCTTTATTTGCAATGTGTTTTATTGTGTACACATGAAAAGTGTACACATGAAAAATGTAGATTCTATAGGGGGCTACAAAGTTTGACAATTGAGCTATTACAAGACTTGCACAAGGTTAGGTGTACACTACGATACCCTAGTCCCCCTCTCTAGCCCCCACAATACAATCAGCTGCATTGATCACCCGCCCACCCACAGGTCCATACTTACGGGGTTATTCACAAAGCTGCCGAAGACAGCCGAGTGAATAACCGAGCCATAGTGAAGTCAGCCGAACGATGTTCGGCTATTCACTACAGCTCAGTATGGCTGAGCCGAAGCTCCGGCAGCTCACTCGCTGCTGTTTGCCCCTATTCTCATAGGGGCTGAACGTCAGTGAGTGAATAGCTGAATGCTGCCGAGCGGCATTCGGCTCGGCTATTCTGCTTGGTACTTCCGTGGTACAGAGCAGAATAGCAAATCAATGAGAATAGTTAAAAATAAGAGTTGAAAAATTATTTAAAAATGTAAATAAATAAAAAAACTAAAAAATAAAGATTTAAAAAAAATAAACATTTTAATTACAAAAATAATTGGGTGGAGCTAGCAGTGACAGCTAGCTCCACCCAACTGTTTCCTTTTGGGCTGTTTGCCTGCCCTCTAAGACAAATCTCCAGCTGCAGTGGGAAGTATTACTACTGCAACTAAATGTGACAGCTACCTGCTCAGGGCTATCGGATGCCAGCAGCCGTTGACATCCTAGCAACCAAAGACGCATCCCTGGCCCAATTCACCTGCCAGCCAGGCGAATCCCCAGTAAATGTGAAGAAAGGGGTGAGGATGCTGGGTGACCCCAAGGCTATATTTAGTCAATGACATTAGGCAGCATCCTCACTCCTTTGTTTACAATTATCTGCTGGCTGGGGAACTGTCATTTAAGAGTTCAGTCGGGAGTGGATAGTGTCATCGGGCCACGGTTTGTTTTGGCGGTTCATCAGGGTTGGTATTTATAGTGATTACAGGTGGATCTACATCAATAGACTAGAATGATGATTGATATACGTCAAGGGCTTTTTTCTGTTTGTTTTTAAAAAGTCATCAGTGTTATTATTTACTTTTTTGTATGTGAATAAGTAACCAGGGATACTATGTACCCTTTGTTCATTCACATGGGGGGGGGAATCTTGGGGCCGCCTTGACAGACCTCTGCAGCTCATCTTACATCAGAGAGGTTTTCTACTATACATGCCGAAATCACTTACCTGTCTACACTGATCGCACAGAGATTGAAGATGGAAGCTGTACAGAGCATGACATCCATGGTCATGAGGGCATCACAAAGGACAAGGCTTAGGGTCCAGGCCCCTCCTATAAACTGAATAGTTAAAAAAAAGCTGTTTAGAGTCGTGTATAAGTAGAGGGGAGCAGTATGAAGAGGATTGTACTAAAACAAAAATAACATCACAGTTCATAAAACAAGGGTAAGACTTTTGCTGCCAAATTTTGCTATCTTTCAGCTTTAGACTTTGACCTTTGTTTCCTCTCTACAAAGCCGAGACGGGTTACTAAAGCTGTTTAAAGCATAAGTCTTTGGTCAGTAATTTAGAGGTATAAAGACTGAAATCCTAATAAAACTGTTGTACCATATTTTCAAGGCTGTTTTGCAAGGTAGATGTGTCTTCCCAAGTAGTGACCTCACCTCCCTCTCTATCCCTGTCCTCTTTTGAAACACACTGTATTCGCCTATTCTCTCCAATTTTGCTGAGGATTGCTGTTATATACCGCCCCCCTGGACCGGTATCTCACTTTCTTGATGACTTCTCTGCCTGGCTACCCTACTTTCTCTCCTCAGAAATACACACCCCTGGCTTCCACTCAATTTCTTAACCTAACCTCTTCTTTTGATCTAACACAATGGACACACACTCCTACTCACTGTGATGGTAACATACTAGATCTTGTTTTCTCTCACCTATGCACTGCTTGCAACCTCTCCAACACCACTTTCCCCATCTCTGACCACAACCTTGTCAGTTTCTGACTCACTCTGTCCCCAATCCTGAATCCCCCTACACGGCACACTGTCACTCGGAGAAACCTTTGCCACCTCTTCTCTTCTCTACTCTGCTACTGACTACCTCTATGGCAAAATCTCACCCCTGTCCTGCCCTGACCTTGGCTACTTCTGTCTACAACAGCTCACGCTAATCCTCCCTAGACACCTTGGCTCCCCTCACTACATGCAGACTTCGACCACGTCAACTACAACCGTGGCAAACTAAAGAAACCAGACATCTAAAAAGACATAGCCGTGCTCTTGAACGACTGTGGCGGAAAACTAGGCTTCTGCAAGACTTCACCCTGTATAAAGCTGCCCTCCTAAAATATAACTCCTCCCTCCGTGCTGCCAAACAGACTTATTTTGTAACTCTCATAAACACACACAAAAACACTCACTGGACCCTACCGATCTCAACAATCTCAGACCAATCTCCTTACTCCCATTCATCTCCAAACTCCTAGAACGCTTTATCTACAGCCGCCTGAGCCGCCACCTCGCTGATAACAACCTTCTGGACCCCTTACAGTCCGGCTTTCGCCCTCTACACTCCACTGAAACCGCCCTCCTAAAACTCACTAAGGACTTACTAACAGCTAAAAACAATGGCCACTACTCCTTACTCTTGCTATTAGACCTTTCTGCTGCTATTGACACTGTTGACCACCTGCTCCTGCTCAAAAAACTCCACTCGGTTGGCCTACAAGACTCTGCTTTCTCATGGTTCTCCTCCTACCTATCTAAGCGCTCCTTTAGTGTCACCTACAAATCTAACTCCTCCCCTCCACTTCCTCTTTCTGTAGGGGTCCCCCAAGGCTCTGTGCTTGGACCCCTCCTCTTCTTCATCTACACTACACTTGGTCCGGTAATAACCTCACATGGCTTCCAATACCATCTCTATGCCGATGACACTCAAATGTATCTTTCTACTCCACAACTCACCCCTCAGTGTCCTTGCGTGTCACTAATCTACTATCCGACATATCCGTTTGGATGTCACAACTTCTTAAAACTCAACTTTTCAAAAACTGAGCTCATGATATTTCCTCCGGCCCGTGCACCTTCCCCCAACTTTTCCCTTGAGTTTGATAACACAACTATCCAACCCTCCCCCCATGCCAAGGTGCAGGTGTCATCCTTGACTCGGACTTCACGTTTCTTCCCCACATCCAATCACTATCCAAATCCTGCCGCCTTCACCTTCACAACGTCTCCAAAATACGCCCCTTCCTCATCAATTAAACCTCAAAACTACTCATTCACTCCCTTGTTATCTCTCATCTTGACTATTGCAAACTCCTCCTCATTGGCCTACATCTACACAGGCATCCCCCCTTCAGTCTATCATGAATGCAGCTGCTAGACTAATTCACCTAACCAACCGCTCAGTGTCTGCAACCCCCCTCTGTCAATCCCCACACTGTCTACCAATAGCCCAAAGGATAAAATTCAAAATATTAACAACCACTTACAAAGCCATCCACAACTCTTCCCCTGGATATATCTCAAACCTTGTCTCAAAATATCACCCTAACCGTCCCCTCTGCTCCTCCCAAGGCCTCCTGCTTTCCAGCTCCCTTGTCATCTCCTCCCATACTCGCCTCCAGGACTTCACTAGAGTCTCTCCCATCCTCTGGAACCTGTCCGTCTATCTCTGACTGCCTTTAGGCAATCCCTTAAGACTCATCTCTTCAGGGAAGCCTATCCCACCTCAACTTAACCACTGAGTTATCACTTTCTCAAACAATTCATCCCCACACAGCTACCTCCTCATGTATCGCTTTTAGATTGTAAGCCCTCAGGAGCAGGGCCCTCCTTACCATCTTGTCTTGAATTGTATTGTGATTGTAATGTCTTCCTTATATTGTAAAGCGCTGTGCAAACTTTTGGCGCTATATAAATCCTGTATCATAATAATAATAATAATAGTGATCGACCATTAACGCAGCATTCCAGGCAAACAGCTAAATGCTAGCTGTTTTACCTGCCAAACATTAGTAATTCTGTTCAGCCAATTTTGAGAACTGCACACTGCTAAAATATGGTATGCACCTCTGTAGCTTTCTATGTCACCTGCTTCCTCACCGGATTATGAAAGAACATCAGGCCCACCCTTTGTTCTTCCCTCCTTTAAGCTGCTTAAACACTTCGCAATCAAGCTACCAGCACAGCATTTTGCAGTGTAATAGAGCCTGGCTGACTTGTGCATAACCTCTTTCAGGGTATTATGGCATGGTTCTCGCATCATACTCTCTTACACTCTGGGGGCAGAAAAGAAAATGTATTTTTACAGAAATTAATAGAAAAACACTGGAAGGCCCCCTGCGGTTCTGAATATTAACGTGACCAAAAACCTGATATAGCTGTGTCACAAGCAACTGTGGCAATTTTCAAAACACATCATTACTCTCTACAGGGATTAATGTATGCTGAATTGTATATGCTAACAGGTTTTTGAACATTGGAAATTAAGAGGTGTCTCTGAAGATGCAAGTATTATTTTTCCCTTATGCATGAGCAAGACTGAAAAGTGAAATTCTAATTAGATTCTTCTCTCTCAGTTAGAAGCAGGTACCATTTTGTCTCATTCAGAATATCCTACACTGTCTATGATGGCCAAAGTCTGGCAATTGATGAAATCAATAATGAAATACGAAGGTATTACCCTGGTTACTACGATATGGTTTAACTCTTTTCAAGAAATTGGTAGACTTTGAGAGTTGGAGGTATAGAGGACTGCAATTTGTATATCAGTTATTTGAAGAGGACAATTTGATATCCTTTGAAAGGTTGTAGGAAGAGTTTCAACTACCCAATGCTCAATTTTTCAAATACCTACAATTAAGGCATGCTCTGGAATCTCAGAGAAGTTCCCGAAATTTTGATGTTATTCGTACTCAATTAGTGAATATGGTTGCAAAGTCCAAGTATAAGAAGGGTGCAATATCCAGACTGTACGAAGGCTTATTAAGATCATGGTCGATTGATAGGATACAGACATGTAGGAAAGGTTGGGAAGAGGACATAGGAGCATTCACAGAGGAGGCCTGGTCAACTGTTTTGGTAAACACCTTTAAATTATCACTCTCCTCTAGTCAATGTATGACTCAATTATTTATCCTGCACTGTACGTACTATACTCCCTTGAAGATGTTTAGATGGGGTAGAAAGGAGACTGGGAACTGTCCCAGATGTAGGAGTGAGGAAGCTAATTTGATCCATATGCTTTGGAGATGCCCCAAATTGTTTAGATGTTGAGAAGGCATAATTTATTTTATTAATCAAGCACTCAGAGTTAAGTTACCACTGGATCCTAGAATTTGTCTCCTAAATTATGTTGAAGAAGAACAACAGATCCCGGGACTCATGGATATCATTATAAGACTTTTGTTCTTAGCAAGAAAAATGATTGCCTTTAAATGGACACCCCCCAACCCACCTACAGTAGAGGAGTGGCGTAAGCAAGTCGACCTGGTACTATTAAAAGAGAAATTGCTTTTTAAACATAGAGGATGCCCCCAGAAATGTAATAAGATATGGAATCCATGGTTGTCAATACCAGGTTTGGCCCCATCTATGGGGTAAAATCTAAATTACCCAAAAATAAAAGAGAAAGAGAGGTTTAGAGGGATTAAACAACAAGGAGCAAAGTCAGGAGGTACTATGTGTATATGTTTGATGGGGGGGTGTTGCTGCTACCTTTTTTTTTTTTCTTCCTTTCTTAGGGAGGGAAAGGCATATTAGTAGAAAAAATCAGGTTTAACATTTAATCTGATTTGCACTTTAAATTAACTAAACGATTGCTTGAAAGCGAATCTCACTGGTTTAATAAATATAGCACATACACATGGTTGAATATAATAACAGTTATTTATGAATTTTACATAGGCTTATAGCTATTAAATATGCACATTAGTAGGAAATAAGCCATGGTTGGGGTTATGTATAGTTATTTATTTATGTGTATGTGTATTTGTTTATATAAGTGTATGAATGTGTGTATGGGTGTGTATATATTTATATATATGGACTAGGGGTGCGGAAATTAACGATTAATCCTTCGATTAATCGTTAATTTCTTTGATCGATCACAATCATTTTGATCGATCAAAGTACTCACCTCTCCGCCGGCTTCCGTCGGAGATCCGGTGATGTCACGAACATCGACGTCACCTGACTCCTCCCCCCCTCCCCGAGTGGCTCTGTCGGCTAACGAAGGGAAGGGGGGAGGAGTCGGGTGATGTAGTTGTCCGTGATGGGTAACGAAGGGAAGGAGGGAGGAGTCCGTTGACGTCGATGTCCGTGACGTCACCGGA